ACCAGGTCAATGACGACGAAGCGAAAGCGGAGCTTGCACGAGTTGCTCACGGTTTCTGGGCTACCCGGCCTAGCGGGTCCCAGAACCCGATAGGGTCCTGCAAATCAAACAAAGTCGTCTCATGCATGCCTGACAATCTGTCGCTTGTCTTCCACTTCTGTTGTCTGTTCAAAATTGTTGCGCTATCAGGTGCAGTTTGACACGGCCTCGGGGTGGGTGAAAGCGATTTGGGAAATCTTCTTTCTTGCCACGTTTGCTGTTGCCTGGACCCCCACCTGAAAGTATTGATTGGCCCTTTCGCCTCGCTAGTCGTTTATGCGGAGTGTCCTGTCGTCGGTTACGCAGTCTCGCCCAAGCCCGAGTTCTCGGAACACATCGAAGGCGGAAGCAAGCCGAAATGGATCATCCCCGGCAACGATCATGCCAATCGCCTACTCCACCTGCAGCTCCTAAGGTCCTAGTCACGGCCAAAACCCATGGCGAGTGCAGGTTTGCGCTGTCCTGACGCTTGCGGCATGCCACGCATGCCCCGTGCAGGGATCGCCACTTTGGATGTTTGGATGTACCCCGTCAGTGGTAGAGGTCATGCAAGAAACGATTGGAAAGACGGTACCAGGGTTTCGAGGAAAGTATCTGCACGAGCGACGACGGAGATCACGCAGATACACGCACCCAACTTGTTGCCAGCATGAGCTGGCAGATCGACGAGGCCGAGGCAGTGTTTGTCGGGTTGTCTCTGACCACAAGTCCCTGACGTCAACTATGCTGCGCTGCTGCTAGCATGCAACTCATCAAGACGATAGCAACAGTACAGTCGCAGTTTGTCGCAACCGCCCTCGTTGTTCTGAGTTCAGAAGGACTCTAACATGTGGACAGGGCAAACCACGTTCACACTGCCGTGAATGAAACATTTTTGTGCATCAATCTGTTGCGAAGCCAGACGATTGCATTCGGTGAAGACCGCAAGTACAGTAGCTGGGGAATGCTCGGGAGTAAGACTGCAATTCGCGGATGTTTGCAGGCAAGATTCAGTTCGTAACTCCGCAAGACAAACAAAGCTTGTGACATCTACCCTCACTATTGCAACGGCGGAAGACACGCACTGCACACCTGCAGGGGAGGCCCCAACAGATAATGGGGATTGACGGCTGTGAGATATCCAGTACAACATCCAGAAGCAAGGGACTCCATGTCAAACACAAGGGGCAGGGGAAGTTCCACGAAACATCCGAACTGAATTCATACCTACACTGTCCTGGACTCCCAGCTCTGTTGCAGGATCGAAGCTGGCATAGCTGGTGCTGCCGCTGTCACCGAAAAAATTTCGGACGGTCTGCCAGCACAGGAATGCTGGATGACATAGTCCGATGTCACAGCAAACACAAGCTTTCCAGCAGCCCCAAGCCTTGCTAGTCTGCTTGGTGGCCTTCTGGACAGGGCTCGGCTCACGACTCAAGCAGCTGCGACGTCGGTGACTGGCTGAGTCTTCCCTCACACACAACAGATTCTACATGAGTTTACCAAGCCCCCGTCACTGCGGGCAGCAACCTTGGATGGGATTGCAATGATTTCTGCACGTCTGTTCCCGTCAAGACTAGCGGGACTACCGCACCAAAAAGACCGAGGCGCTGCCAAAACGGCACTCGAGGCGACCGTTGCAACTGGGATGCTGGAAAATGCCTGCAGGTCGGTGCCGCTGGTATTCCAAGGTAGCTACGTCTCAGTGTCTGTGACTCGTTCGCGCCCCGGGCATGCTTGAGGACGGAGCTGAGCTCGACGACACCCGAGGCTGCAGCTGTGCGTGCGACCTGGGTTGGTTTTCGGTTGTGGGATTGACAGGCTTCCTCGAGGCATCCGTGCTAGAACTCCAGACATGACTCGACGAGACAAGTCTTTCTGTGACGTCCGTGCTCTTCTATCGTTTGGTAGTCTCTGGGCGCCTTCTGGGTTCCGGGCAATCCTGATTGCCGAGCAGGGGTTGCGCCAGGCGCAAGAAAACTGGGAGCCTCAAGACAGGGATCCTGAAAACCCTGCAGTTGCACAGCTGCGGCCTTGAGCCTGCTGTGGAGGGCTCAAACCGATGCACCGTACTTCGCTTCAACCGGGCTCCTGGCTGCCAGCATCGCTCCGGCGCTCACAGCCGCACCTGAAGCTCGTCGAGCTCGAAATGATGGCATGACTCTCACGTCCCTTCCGCTAGAAACTTCACACTTGGCATGTGGGCATCAGCGATGCTGACCGAGAGCTTGGCCACATGCAATACGTCTTCCGTTGCTGGCCATGTTTTTCCAGTGATTGCACCTGCAAACTACAAGAACCCGTGGTCACCAGGAAGGTCGTCGGACGAGTTTGTGCGAGGCCTGCCGGGCCAGCCTGCACGTCGTTTGGCGTGCTTGTGAGCCGAAAACTTGCGGACATAAAACTTCCCGTAGTGGTCCACGATCAGCACTGGCATGCAAGCACGCATGCAGTCTAGCTTGCTGAGCTGAGATCTCGTAGAGCAAAAACACAGGCCTCCTTTTTCTGAATGCATGCGATGTCTCGCGTGGCGTCCGAACGCCCTATTTGTGTAAAGAATACGAAACGTGGGAGAGTCCTCCTGACACCCACGGAACAAGTGTTCTTTCAAAACTGACCCTGGGGCCTCGAGGTGTGAAAAAGGTGAAACGTGGCTATGATTCGTCGGAAGGCTAGAGGACGGCCGGCCGGTGTCCCACACATGTGAATGGTGGACGGCTGCACACATGCATGCAAGGTGTTCACGGGGTGATCAAGGTGTGGGACGCCGCCGTTGCCACGTTTTGTGACTACGCCCTGACTAAGAGACACCTGGCATTTCACTTGCCATTACGCCGTTCCAAGAGATGAGACCTATTGGCTGCACCTTTGCAAAGGAATCCTTTCTTACGCAAGTCCGAACTGCTCGATGGCATCCTTGCCGGTGTAGACGTTTGCGGCGATGATGCCGATGGCTGCAAACATGGCCATGCGACCGTTGTTGAGCTCACGGTTGCGCATCTCCAGCGTGTACTGGTTCAGGCCCGCAGGGTCGCCGAAATTGCCAGGCTCCTTGGAGGGATCCTCCGTCCAGGCGCCAAGCTCCAGCAGGCCTGCGATGGCGAAGAGCGCCGCGAAACCGTATGTGCCCGGTGCGACTTCCACCGCACCAAGCCCGGCCGGAACGCTTTCGAAGCCAGGGAACTTCACGTAGTGCTGGAAGACGGCACCTACTGCTGCCATCATGGCCACCCTACCGTGCTTGATCTCGGCCGCACGCAAGTTGCGGAAGCCGGCCTTGTCACCCTTCTTGCAGAAGCCAGCCGGATCAAAGTACCCGAAGGGCTCGGTCACGCCCACCTCACTGGCCGGATCGAAACTGGGCTCGGGAGGAACATCCTCGCCTTCACCGCTCAGGGACTTGCCGGTTCCGGCAGCGACGCCCGTGCTGGCGGCGACGCTCTTCGCTCCTGCGCTGGCGCCTGCCTTGGCAGCTGCTGCTTTGGCTGCGGCAGCTGCCGCAGCCGCAGACACAGGCTCAGCTCGGAGGGGTGATGCCGTGTAGGTTGCCCAATCGCCCCAGGCGCTGCCTGTCAAGCCGTCCTGCAGCTAACGTCGTACAGGGACAACATGTACACACTGCTACAGCAGCGGACACCACAAGCGGACACACACAGAGAGAGACACACGAGACGTATCATTTTGGAAAAATTAAACAAGACGCATCCAGGCAAGTGCTTTGAAGGATTGAGTGGACATTGAGCATGCCTGCCGCTAGCGCAAGATTTTGCAGACTAGCAAAGGCAGATTCGGAAGAAAAATTGTTTTCAGTTTTTCAGCATGCTTCAGGACCACACTATGCACAGATCAGACAGATGCCAACATCCGTTCTCATCGACACCTGCGTTCGACTTTCGATTCGAGCTCACGGTTCTCAGGCCATTTCCAGATTCAAAATAAGAGGCTGGCTGATGAAATGTGCATGAATACAGCTTGATGCTTCACATCCTGACAGTGCTGAACAGGAATGCTGCCGAGTCGAGAGGGCGCCCCAATGTCGTGGACTGTCTCCGGTGCATTTGGAATGTTGGACTGGTTGTCCATGCTGCTTGCTCCTGGCAGCCCACAACCTTCCTGGAATGGGCAACAGCTGGGCCGGTCTGTGCACAGTGCGTCACCTGACAATGACCAGACATCTCCAAGCCTGTGAAGAGCAGTCGCGAATAGGTCGTGCCTGCTCTTACCGAGAGC